CTTATATATGTACACATCATTCAATTTAGCTGCTGCGGCTTATATTCAGGTGCGCCTTATAGTCCGAAAATTACGGTAAATATCAAATATCAAGAAAACCTATATGGACATACCTGTGATGGCTGACTTGAAGTTCTCCGAGAAGCTGATTCTTGAACCACTGGTCGAAGTCCACGTTGTCAAACAGCTCGTAAGCTGCCAGTCCTACTGCATTGTATACTGCAGACAAAACAACCACAATAGGAGTTTAGAAAATCATCATCATATAGGCTACATTCAGAAGTATTATTCATGGCTGCCACTAGGTGAGATTATACCGGGAGCCAGTAAGCAACTTTTGTCAGCTATAAAGGCAGTTGACGCAGGTGGTCTTGTTATTTCAGCAAATAGGGATGTCACAAAGCACTGTCCATTACAAATGACAAATATCTTCATATCAGACAAACTAATGTGTCTCATCCAGTAATAGGCTCATTAAAAGGATCTGTTATATTATGGGTTGGAGGCTCAGATCCTGGGTCCTCCTCTCTAAGCAGTTTAATTAGGGTCATGGTCTAAGTATATTATTACCGTTATAATGATTGACTCGTTAACAGATCAGGACCTGCCGTTATTAAGTGCCCCTATGGCTCTTCAACTAGCTCCCACAGCACAATTATATGTCAATGCTGCTACCACCGCACGACTCCATCATCCAGTGATGTCTGCCGTTAGATCAACACTGTCAGGAAACTGCCGAGATCTCTGAGGGCATCCCGCTTCAACAGAGGACCTAATAGTATGCAATCTCAACTCCCTGTGATTTAGTTGTGTGTGTATCATAATACTAACGGAGGAGCAGCCCTGACCTACCACAGAGTTATAAATACTAAGATGAGTTAGAGAGGAGGAAGACAGGGTGTAAGGAAACAAGACCCCGGGGACATGAGAAGTTAAGTGAGGGAAAGAGCAGTAAAGCCAAAGGGATGACAGTATACAAATGCAACCAAAAAAGAGAATATATAAGTTCAATCATTTAGATGTATTTATTTAGACTTGTCATCTTGGTCTAAAAGTATTGGGAGTCATCTGTTTATCCATATTTCAATGTTCCTTGCTCTCTCTTATCCAGCTGTCTGCAATGTTTGGGATTTGTAGACAGGAGCAACATTATGTTAAGTATTGGGCCAAGGGATACATCGACATATGGACTGCAGGGGTTTGGATCGAACGCAAAACCTTCCAATTAAAAGAGGAATGATTACCTCACAGCCACAGAAAAAAAAAAGAGTTTTGCTAAATCTGACTCTTCTTATGAGTCCGAATCGATTGTTTGATTCACCTGGCATAAAGAGAAAACTGCAGTCATTAAACATCTAGATGTATGTGAAGCCGTTGACTCACCTGCATCCTTCATTAGCAGCTGAACAGAGTCTTCCACATTGGTTGGGCCTGCAAAGACAGATAGAATCTAAGGATTATTTTATTGGCTGGAGTAACATGCATACAGTTGAAAGCTTTGTTCAATAATAACAGACAATCTGTAGGATGTATTGGACCCAGTGAGCACATAAGACAGTTGCAACTTGAAGCAGCCTTGTCTCCATTGTATCCGTGTTGTCTCAATCAATTCACTGGTCTGTTCTCGACCTCTCTGTTAGTTCTTATTGTGTACTTAGTTCTCAAAATCAATAGCTTCCTCCCTTCAACCATAGAATGACACCAATCTGGCTTCGTCCTTGCTCCAGCAGAACCCATTTCCACTATGTCGTGTGTGTGTGTGTGTGTGGTGTGTGTGTGTGTGTGTGTGTGTGTGTGTGTGTGTGTGTGTGTGTGTGTGTGTGTGTGTGTGTGTGTGTGTGTGTGTGTGTGTGTGTGTGTGTGTGTGGTGTGTGGTGTGTGGTGTGTGTCCATGTTGCAGTCTAGGTCTGTGAGTGGTTGTAACTTTGGAGGTTTTTTTACCAGGGAACTTGAAGGTTGGCCCATATATTGCATGTGACACCTTCTGTAACTGCTAAAAGCAACAAACTTAGATGCTTTGCTGTGTTCCAATATAATAAATCACTTACTCTGAAACAAGGCTCTATTTCATGATGTAAAATGGGATCTCACAACTGAAGCAGAATTTGTGTAACAGGGTAACTGATACAGTATGGTACATGCAAGGCTATGTTTACAGCATTTTTCAAACACAAAGGTAATTCATTTGCCTTATGTGTTACCAATTCATTATAAAACAAGCAACCTAATTCAACAGTAACATATATTTACAGTATTAATAGAGTGCACAAGTATTAGAAAATAATTAATAAAAATCCAACAGTACCAACAGCCTCCAGAACAGGACCATAACATAAAATGTTTTACATATGCTGAATTTTGTGAAGGCTCATTAAGCAATTTGTCCTGCATTAAAGGTAGTTCAAATTAATATAACTGTAATAACTGACCCTGGAGATTCTGAACCATTTCCAGTAGCACGGGTATCAGTGTCTGGTTGTAGGCGTGGAAGATATCCAGGAACAACACTTCTGCACATGGCTAGATAGAGAAAGAGAGCAGAGAGGACAAAAAGGTGGATTATTTGACATAATTGATTGCGGAAGTCATTTTGTTTTTCTCCCAGCTCTGCCCATTCTTAGCAGCCCGGTTTGATTAGGTTGGACACGCAGTGATTCTGAGAATGATTGTCACATTAAAAATTAAAGTCAGTGAATACCCTTCGATATATACACAAAGAAGAGCTTCATAAAAAAGAGGCTCATGCACAAACACAAACGGCAATCAATGCCTTGAGGTTCCAGAGATAATACAAATCAATGAGAACTTGTCAGGGGATATGTGTGTGTGTTTGTGGGTTAAAAAAGTGAAATGGTAGTCAACACATGTTCAGCAGTATATTGGTTTAAGATGTCACAAAAAAATCTACTGGTATATGAAATGAAAGGTGTGAGAAATCTGAGAAAAATGATTGAGAAAACTCATGAATACATGCTGTGTTTAATGAGTGCACATGTGTGTGACATCTCAAAGAAAGTACTGGAGGTTTGACCTTCCCCCCCTGGTAGCCAGAGGTCAGGTGAACTTCAACACAGCTTCACAGGATTAAGACAAACACAAGCACTTGTTCCTTAGGAAATAAATATAAACAGGTGGGAATATTGATAGGGGAAGGTCACCTGTAATCAGCCATTAGAATCGGTGACCATGATGGATGGTGACATTTGATCCATGAACCATACTGAGTACAACAATGTGTTAATAAGAGGGTCAAAGGAGGGTGTGCACTGTGTGGAAAAGGTTCCTTTTTTATGAGTGTATTAAATAAAATATAGATTAAACTCCTGCAATATTTAAATGTATCCTTCTTAAGGTGTATATCTGCAGAATTGTACATGTATCGTTGCAATTCCTGCCTGCCAAAATGTGTGTGGCAGCTGGTTATAAATGAAGAACTTTTACTCTTTTATTTTTAGGTCAAATTAATAAACGGCAACGATCTACATTATTATTTATTTTAAACAGAAGAGCAGAGGGATTTCATCTGAAGTGATGAAAGCAAGGAGATGTGGCTCAACACAAAAAAAGAGAAATGAGGGGTATACAGAAAGAAAAGAGACAGAATAGAGGATTATGTCATGACTCAGAAAAACAGCTGAAGACAAACCACTGCCTGAGATACGAGCAAAAGCCTGGGGGGCCACTAACTGTTTTATGATGCTGCGATGTATACAGCCTGCCCAGTACCACCGCATAAAACACTTTAAATGATGAAAATATATCACACACACTAAAGGGCATTTGTAAAAAAAAAAAAAAAGAAAGAATAATAATAAAATTGGAATAATCTTCTGTTATGGTTATTTTAACAAAAAGATGTTTCAAGGGTGGAGTAAGTGTGGATGTGTATGCCTATACTTACTCGTAGACTGTATTTCCAAGAGTCTCCACCGGTTTCTTCAACAGCTAGAAAAGAAAAGAAGTCTCAGAGCGGTGGTCCCATGCAGAGCATTAGCAGAAGAGTGGCTGTCTATGGAGGACTGTCAAGCTAATAATAGTACATGACTGAACTATATTCTGAGATGGCAAATGGTTGTCAATTAGAAAATGCTGGTCTGAATTACAAAGTGATTATTTTCTATGCAAAAGTCCAAATGTGTTCTTAAAAACGTTCTGATTCATTACAGAACTGAATCTAATTGCTTTAACTAGCAGAGCATGTTATTAAAGTGGATGTTGGTTAAAGTTTGACTGTGCAGTTTATCACATAGAAATGTAGTTAGCTTCCTCCCTATTCTGGACTGAACCTGTTAACACCGGCAGCCTGCAGGTCCAGACAAGTCTGTATTTTTGGATTAAGCCTGTGTATCTGGGGATGTGCTATTACCAAAGCTCTCGGGGTCCTCTTCCCACATTGCCAACTCTTCCTCTGTGAGGAGGAAGTAGTGTGAGACTAGTCTGCGTCCAATCTCTGTCAGTGTGGGGTGTGTGAAGAATGCCGTCTTGATCTTGTGAGCCTCCAGACTCTCTGGTTTACTGTCTGAGGGCGGGAGAAGCGAGGGGGAAGAAAGAAAAGAGAACAAATAGAGATTGAAGGAGGGATGGAAATGTTATCATCCGTTTATCTATTATACCAAAAGTCCTCTAATAATTGCACTAATAGCTTTTGTTGGTACTTATCTACTCTTCAGAGGTTGAATTGTTTCCAATGTTTGGAATTCACATTTCAAAATGATATGGTATATTTTACATTTTTTAAATATAAAAATAGGCTGCATGCTCAAAAGGCTTGATTTCAGGCAAAAGCTTTTTCTTCTTCTCATTTTAAATGGGGAACTAAACATTAATACAAGCAATGTTGGTATTCTTCTGTAGGCCATTTATTGTCTGTTTTCTAACATTAAACATACTATATTGGTTTATGTTGTTGTTACGACAACGTTTCCATTCTCTGCCAATCATCTTGCCTTTTCAGTAAACATTTTAAATATTAAAGAATATTTTTTTTAAACGCGAAAACAAACAACACCAGCAGTTTAGGGGGGGGGGGATTCTGATGTAAAGCAAAGATGAAAATTAAACTTTACTTTCAAAGCTAAACCTATACTCAACCAGACTGATTTCTCGTCATTAAAACTTCCAAACCTCCTCTTACCCTGTGGCCTCTGAACTCGCGCTACTCTCACAGAACTGGGTGTGTGGTTGTTAAACTCTCAGACACACCTGTCCGTCTACCCGACTGACAGCAGGGGCCTAATAGATCATTCAGATGGCTGCTCGGAGCTGAGCTAGGTCATTTAAGGCTCAACTTATCCTTTAGCTATGTAACCCTGATACTCCATATACTTTGTTTCCCTGTTTGGAAATAGAAAGCAAACCTCACGTCGAATTTAGCTCTGCCGCCAAGGCGCACTTAAACATTTGACTGAAACCCGACCATGTACACGAGGACCACAATATGGCTCACTCTGAGAAAGATTGCATCCAAGAAAGGTCTTCAATAAGTCTCACCATAGACGATACTAGCTGGCAGAACAAAGACGGAGTGCTGTGCTCCACAGCTAATGGAGCACTGGAGGCTTCTGTCAGCTTGAAATAAACATGAGCCTTGGTGATGTACTGTGGCGCTCAGTGGTGTGTTCTTTCAGTCAGTGATCAGCTTTGAAGAGCTAGTGGCGTTTTCTGTTGGCCTTAGAATCATAGACTTGAAATTCAAATTTGATTTGTCTGGCTTAAATGTTTTCTTTCTCCTCATTGATGTCTGCAAGTATTATCACTCGTCTACCGTGTACTTTACTCTCTTGGGTTGTCGTTTTGATCCTTTTTATTCTAAACCCTTATTGCCCCTCTTTCCCACCGCCGTCATATCCTACCCTCGATGTTCTTTGAAGGTTTGTAGGCTTCATTCTTTACAATCATCTTGATGAGGTTCATGCACTGAACAATGAAGCGTTCAAAGGTCACTCCCTCTCCTGCAGGTGTGAACAGGTAGCTGACGGCAAATTCCAGGGAACGCTGGATTAGGGGTATGAACGCACATGGATGGTACTCCAGGAAATCTAACAACTACAAGAGGGGGAGAAAGAAGAAGGACACACATTTGTTAGACGATATAATTAGTCTGCAACATCTTTGAATCAAACATACAACTAATTCATAATTGACAAAACAGAAATGTGTCATTTATTGATATACAAGTCAACTCACAGTTTTAGTGTACAGTATGATCATCTTCTCCAGCTTTTCTCTGCATGTGCTGTCTGGACCAACCTGTCGATCTGAAACACAAAAAGAGAACTCAGGATTGATACACAGCAGTAAACCTACAATTATATAATAATCTTTAATATTTGGCAACTATTGTTCAATCTAAATGTGTTAAATATCTGAAGATTTTTTGCGTTAACAGAGATTTAACAGTGGCAGAAAAAATTCAACTTTTTGATTTTTTTTCCCTTAATTATTTAGCTTATGCCTTCTCTGATCTTGTCTTATCAACATGATGGACCCTATGTAAAAAGGGTAAAAAAACGTGAACCGAATAACTATGTATGATAAATATCACAAGCAGAAGGGAAGGAAAAAGTGTCACATAAAGGAATAAAAGTATTCTGATTTACTAGTAGGAACTTTTCCACGTAGTTGAAGGTGAAATATCCACCTCACGTTGCCGCCTTGTAGTGGTCCCATTACACATTGGTGTATATAATAAAGTTAACTTATAAAGGAACTAAAAAATGACCATGAATGACTGACTACCTTTGTTGTACAGTTTCGCTCCATAAAACCAATCATGATGCTAGAGCCAAAAAATGTCCCCTATGGTTTACTCCCTTGTCGGCCTCATTGATGAAACCATTACGGTCTCTGACTTTCCTCCAATAACTGAACAGCCAGGGTCATAGTTTCCTCTCCCTTTCTACACACATTCATTTCTATCAGCCACTGCTCATTCAAAGTGACACCAGATTGATGAAAAAGGTTAGCTGGCTCAAAGATCACTTTGTCTTGCTTCTTTCAGATTTAAGGGGCTTATGTAGAGCAAAACAACGTTGATTTTATTGACCTTCTGTCCATGTCAATGTCTCCTTGGTGCAAGTGTAAAACAGCTGGTGAGCAGGTGTTGTGTAAAGTCATCAAAGTTATTGAGGTCACACATCTGAACCAGTGAAACATGTTAATAACATCTATGGACTGAGATCAATAAAGAGAATGATGACAGAAAAGAAAAATATGAATTATTTATGATAAATTCCAAATAAACTTGAAAAAAAATGGTGTGACTGCCAGAAAATGGATAGGTGGCCTAAGGTGGAGGATAGACATCAAGCAGGGAGAGCCAGACATCTTCATGGACCCAAAAGACTGCCCCCAAAAAAAGCCAGTTTACAAAGCTGACCTTATCATTCTGTGCAGAGCTGATTCTCTCCCCAGCCCGGCTGTGAGCTGCAGTTCCCATATCTGCCCAAATACCAACAGGACTCCTGTCTCCATTTCCATCAGCAGAGTAAATATTGGAAGTGATATTTGTTGCAGACATCTGCTACTACGGCAGTTTTTAGAGTCGTGTCTGACATTTATCTTTCACTCACTGGGTGTTGTCAGGACAAACTCCCTTTGAAAAGAAGAAAGGAGCAGTGATAGTGAAATCCAACAGTGAGCTAACACAGCTGCCACTCAACTGGGCGGCTAGTAGCTACCACTCAAAAGGGTGTCACTTGTTGGGTGTCTCATCGCATAAACTTTCCCAAGGGAATGATTTTATAAACTCAGGAACTCTACATGCATTTCAACCATAGGCTACACACTACAGGCTAAACGGACTTGCCGTACCACAGTTCTAGGTGATAGAAAAAGTCCCTACCATAGTAGTACCTTCCCATGGTTCAGGAGCTAAAAGATTGCGTAGCACGTTGCTGATTGTTCAGACACTGTCATAGCGTGTAATGCTTCATCTACACTTTAAGGAGAACATTGGCAGACTTTAGTATCAATATCAGAACGAGGGAAAGACATAACTTGCCGTGAGATTAAGAGAGAAAAGAAAGAGTAAACAGGAACAACTTCAAGAGAGCAGGTGCGAAATTGAGAGGCAGTAATGGTTAAAAGAGTGAGAATGATAGAGGGAGAACAAAAATGAAAGAAATGTATCACACTAAAGCACATATAACTATAAGGATGTCTAAAGTGTATATTAAGATGGGGAAATTATTGTAAAAGAGTAATGTTGGGCAGGAACACAGTAAGGGATCACTTTCACACAATCCAACAGAATATTGATGGATGAGACTTACATGTTTTGCTTTGAAAGGAGAGACAGAAAGGTAAGAATAATTTATAATTTTCAGAGAGTTATCGCTTGAAGCAAAGAAAAGAAAAAAATAGATAAGAAAAACTAAAATAATGAATAGTGCAGAATGAGGTCGGGTCACCTTCAGAGATACAGGAAGACATATTTAAAGCATCCTTAACCTGCTCTCAGGAGTACAAAGATTGTCATCCTTGACATTGGGTATCTTCTCATTAAGCCTTTGAGTAGGTGAGCCTACAGTATTCATTAGATTAGGCACCGGTAACTACTGAATGGAAGAGCCTCGGATCAGAGATGCAGCAAAGATAAAGAGACAGATAAAGACACAAGTACTCACAGCATTCCAAGAACTGCTTTAGCCTCTCAAACACAGCGTTCAGGAAACCCTGAAAGGGAAGAGATGAAGAGAGGGCGAGATAAAGTTTAATGTCTTTGACATTTCAGCAGTTGAATCACTTGTGATTGCATCACCAGTACTGCTCAGAAGCAGATATATTAACAAGGGAATAACTTTAGTGTGTGTTGCGTGTGTGTTGCATGTGTATCAATGCAAAGGCAAACCCGCCTCTGTACTCAGAAGCATAAATAAAAGTGCTGGCTTCACATTATGAAAGAAAATCAATTTCTGGGGCCTGGTGCAGATGTGGCTTAAGATAGGAAATGAGATGATAGATAGGGATACAATCGGTTTAGTTTTGCCTCAATGTTCAGCCGTGAGATCAACAGCACTTTCTTTAGTCACACACCCAGCAGGCAAAGCCTTCAAGTATAGCTCCAAAGAGAATTCAGTGATAAAAGAGGCGTCACAGAGAAGGCTGGGAGATGTTGAAAAACAACACTTGCGACAGGCAACTGTTAAACTAATGGTGGGATTAGGAAAATAGGGGGAGGCAAGATGGGTGTAAAAATAGAGGGATAACGAAAAACTGAAATAGAACATGGAGGAAATGCTTAAGCAGAAAGGAGTGCTAAGAGAAGATTTCCGCTGAATAAAAAAAGGTTTGACAACTACAGAGTTAGAGAAATGAGGCTCCCGGCAGTTCTGGGGGGAAATAAGAAGCTAAAGTTAAAGGAAATGAATGGCAGCTAAATGGATTGCGCTGTTAAGAATTGACAAATCGAGACAGACAAGAGTTCGGTGGACATCGAACGGGCATGTCAGCAGTAATTAAAAGATAAAAAGTAGTTTGTACAGAGAGAAGAGTGTTGACTAAACCACCGAGTTCAGTAAAGAAAGAATTAAAACAGTGGTTAACAATTTAAGATTTAAGTTGGTGGGGTTTTTTTTGCGGCGTGCGGTCAAGTTTGAGTGCACTGACTTGCTCCAGGTTTAGAATTATGCAAAATACAGTTTATTGCTCAACTGAATCATATAATCTGTATTTTGCATTAAAAATGACAAAAAGATGCTCGTTATCCACTGGATGTTGCAAACCCACATACTGAGAAGCAGACCGATATATATCAACAGAACAATCTGTTTGTTTCTGATCGATTGAGATCTATTCTACCCCCCCCTTTAGTGCCTGTTTGGTAATCTTGCTGGCTTGATTGTCAGTCATTCAACTGAAAAATGCATTTTAAAATTGATCACTGTGGCAGACTGTGTGAGAAATTACAATGCTCCTCATTCACAGTGGCAGTGTGTTCCAACTCCCCACTGTTCACTGCAATGTGCTGATTAGAAACTATAAACAGTGTGAAAACAGTGGCTTTAAGGGTCAATCACTTTTTATTTGTGCTCCAAAGAACAAAACAAGCATTTTAATGAGCCTAAGACAATTCTCAAGTTGTATTCAATTCAGAAGAGCGGCATATTTGACAAATGAAGAGCAAACTACAATATGTTGACGTTTACCGCATAATCCAGCCTAAAAGCAACACAGTTGCTGCTGCCTGCGGTACTTAAAGCTTAGAATTGTGTTTTGCTTGTTTAGTTTTTATTTGCTCACAAGTTTGTTTGACACCGGAGTTGCAGGAGAAAGAAAAAGTCTGGAACTGATATTTAACCTGTTTCCTGTGCTTTGATTGGTCAGTAGGATGTGTTTTTTTTTGTGTTGACCTCTTTTGTTTTGTTTCGCAGGACAAGTTACCCACCGTCATGGGACCAAAAACCCAGAGTTAACCCTAACATGACCAAATCCTTCCCAGAGTACAGTCCCTATTTCTAGTGATATTTGTAAAGATGATAGAAGTAACATGTGAGAGGAGGTAAAGTAATAATAATAATTCATTTATTTTATATAGGCGCCTTTCAAGGCTCTCAAGATCAACGTACAAACACATAAAAAACAAGATACACAATACATAACACCAGCATAAGAGACATAAACAAGACAATGCAGTATATAAATCAATCAAAGTGTTATGATAACAACACTGGTTGCCATTTCCAAATAATATTAAAACAAATTTCAATGGATAAATGTGCCTCCATAAATAACCAACTTCCAAAATGAGTCAATAACTTTGTATTTGTGCTCTCCACATGCCATCCGTGCTCAGGGGCTAAAGATTGATTTTGAAAGTCAAAGTACACAAAAACAACAAATTAGGTTGCTAGACAAAGCACAAGCATATTCACAGCCGATTGCACATCATGCAGATATGTGTCGGGCATATTATTACGATTCACCGTTACAGTCCGACGTGCTGGGGACTGCCGGCTGAACCACACGGCATGAAAATACTCTTACAGATGGGATCCTTTGTTTCTCTGCAGGAGGCTAAATACTTCTACAATAGGGAACCGGCATGTCCTTTCCCTAGTCAGAGATAACCTTGAATTCAGATTTTAAAACTAACAATGTATTATAATGTAGCAGTTTTCTCTGCATCAATCCCCACGACAGGGCGTAGGGAAGGAAGGAAGAGAAAATTGAGAGTTGATATCTCATCAACAACTTGCTTACATCCTCAATAAGTCGGATAAAAAGAGCACGTTTAAACCATCACATGAACATACACACATCCAAGTGAAGCGACAATAAGCAAAACAACCATCAAACCACCTTCAGCCTGTAGGCTAAAAGTTGTCTCATTAGTAAAATAATAGAGCGTGTAAACAAAACTACTGCGGTCATAACATTTATTTTCCATCTCCTAGTTGACAGGAAAGAACGAAAAAAAACAATAAAAGAAAATATATGAAGAGAAACAAAGAAAGAGAGACAAAGAGAGCGCAGTAGCAAACAAACTGACCTTAATGAATGTATGGTATTTCAAGGATAGATCAAGCCAAACAAATAGTTTTAAAGTTTTAAATATCAATTATTGTGTTTAATACTTTCTAAATCCATCATACAGGCATCACTTGATCATGGATTTATTCGAAAAGATTTGATGTTTTGGTCACAAGATGCTTGTCACGGCTGCTGTCTTCCTGGTCCTCTTAAGTGTGTTACTCTGTTTTGTATGTAAATGAGCTGTGCGGTTGCCCTGACGTGATTGGTTGCCATCTCCTGGTCCGCCTCCTGAAGATTGTGATTGGAGCACGCCGGGCCCGACGTGCTCCAATCCCCGAGCCATCCCATCGCACACCTGCCGGAGATGACGCTACAAAGCCTGGGGACAGCTATCACTCTGGAGGCTCTGCTGCGATCAGACACCTCACTCATTTTTGCTCCTGTGTCGTGGACACGTTAGAGTTGAACTGTCAGAACTTGTGTGACCCGTGTTTAGTGTTTTGTGTAGCGTGTGGTTTATGTGTTTAGAGTAGTGTGTTTAGATATGTGTTAGAGTAGCGTGTTTAGATATGTGTTAGAGTAGCGTGTTTAGATGTGTGTGTGTGTGTGTGTGTGTGTGTGTGTGTGTGTGTGTGT